GAAAAGAAAAATAAGAGAAAAACAAAAAATCTAAAAGGAAAAAAAGGCAGACTTTTTAATTTTTCTCATCCACCTGACATGAATCAATGACAATGAGACAGACGATGGATAAAACTGAGGAAAGAAATGACAAAGAAGCAAGAAAGGCAGTCGAGATGCGACTTAGGCACCATTCTTGCCAAGCCAATTTTGAGTTATCCTTAAACATACGTCTCATGTCATTTTGTCTCCTCAATTTCCTTTCCTCCCTTCAATTTTAGAATTTATTTTACTGTAACTAATTGATTTAAAAACTATATTTTATATTATATTTATTTAAAATAATTTATATAAAGTTAAACATGTGGTGTTTAGCATATTATTATATACTTTCAATTATTATATTCCTAAGTAAAAAAAAATATTTTGCTGTTGCAGCCCAAAATAGTTGTCGATAATTTTAAATGAAAAGCTGTATAAATAAAATTCAAATATTACATGAGTTTATGGAGGCCAAAAAGCTTTATTAAAAAAAAAAAAGAAGAATGTATAAGAAATATTAAAATAGCCACAGCCCGTTAGATTAAAATAAATTCAAAGTTGATCTTGTTAACGTTTTAATAAAATGGACTAATTTTGCTATGTGTTTTTATCTCATGATATGGTTGGGCTAGTTATGATGTAATGTGTATAACCTCTCGCATTTTATACCTTGATAATACACATGATTGAGTTGCTTAATGGTATGTTCATGTGCTCCTTTTCCATGGCATGATAGTATAAGGGAATGCATGAAAATATTAATGAAGCATATGATCGCATGAATGGTAGTTGGATAAAGCATGTAGAGTATATTCAATAACATTGGAGTTAGATAAGGGATTAGATTTGGTCAAAATTAGATTCGGTCCTAAATATATAATCTTAATTTACTCTATTTATCATTTTTTTAAACTAATTACTAGGAAATTTACAACAAAATGTCCAATTTGAGGAAGATCAAATTGGTTAAAATATAATTTGATTCGGTCGGCTAAGGTAATGTTGTGCAAGATTAAAAATTTGTTAGTGCTGAACTTCATCAAAGAGGAAGGTGAATTAGGAGGTAGTATTATACGGAAAAATAAAATCTTAATGACAGAAGCAGTGAATGCAATAGAGTAAATCGGAGGCTATTGGAATCAAAGAGGAGAAACAACATGCAGATAATTTACACCGATTCTTCTATTTAAATGTGACTTCTTGTATTTTCTTTCTTCTCCACAATCTCATTTAATATGAATAAAGTTGAAAAAAAATTAATTTTCAAGTTCTGACAAGTTTAATGAGTTAATTACTATTTCTTAGTTCTCATAAATTAGCTGATGTGACTTATATTATGGATTAGAGGGAGTACATTTTGCATTCACATGATAATTATCTATATTTTCACTGGTGCATAATAAATGAATGTAGTTATAAGTCAGCTTCTCTTGTCTGAAACTAAGGAAAAAATGTGCGTGGATGCAAACGATATCTCTCATTAAGACACCATAATGTACGCAAATTGTCTCTCCAACCAAGTTAATTACCCACTTTGATTTACATTTTTCATTCACATGATAATTATGTTCTTTTGCACAAATCATGCAAACAAAATTGCCCCTTTTGCACAAATTACGAAAGCTATTTAGTATCTTTAGAATTTTTTCCCCATGGATTAATAATCATGTTATCTTTTCACAAACACTCTTCATCATAAAATGCTATTATGTTCCACACACTCATTTTTAATTAATTAGAAGCATCCTTTTTTCAAACGGTATTCTTGAAAATATATTTTAATTATAACGTATATTTTATAAATAGAAATATCAAAGCCTTCTAAAACTTGTCTTATACTGAAGAGTAACAGAGTATGTACACACTGCCTTTTTACCATCACCAGTTATGGGTTACAACTACTCTTGTATGAAAGAAAGAAAAAATTGGTGTGGATTCATTCGTTATGACATGACCTGTCTTCCTTTTCTTATCATGTAGTTCTAATTGTCCATTCCAAATTTTAATAGTTTAAATTCTTATCCGATATCCTGCTGCCATTAAAGATCCACCACTCGTTTTGTTTTAATTCACTATGCCCAGCCAAGACTTTGAGGTTAACTTGAATACGATATGATGCATTAAAGACTTGAGTTTTAATTTGTTATGGATGGTAATAATAACAAAACTGTTTATAATTATCTGTTTGATTAAAAAAGGATTTCATGTTAATCCTATAATTATAAATTGTAAAGTTGATTTGTAACTATATCTTGATATTTTTAATTCAGTTTCCCATTCATTATTTTAAATATTTTGCTTACCAAATTAAGTTATCCCTTTTTTTAGTATTTAGTTTCAATAAACTTTATCAATCAATTAATAAAGATAATAATTTTTTTTTTGAAAAAGAAGAAGAAGAAGACAAGGAGGAGGAGGAGAGCAGGTGGATGACAAAATTATATCACATTATCATAAGTATTAATCCAGATGATATGTCAGTATTACTTATCATTATGTAATTTAAAATCACATTTTTTTGAATTATATCAGAAGATAAATTGATAAGCGAAACAATAATATTGAAAATTATTACGATCTACTTTGACAACTCTCGTTTCAACACTTTTTTTACAAGGGACAGTAAGGTCTTTTTCACTTTTTCATTATTACAATCAAATCTCTTTGGAGCTCTAAAGTAATTGCTAGATTTTAGGGAGCTTTTTCTAGTATTTTGTCTTCTGTAGGACCTCAGTGCAATTTTCACTATAATCTACAACATGCATTCTGTCTTTTTTTTTTTTAACCACAATTTATTGTTTTGCAAATTATTATTCTCTTGAAAATATATATAGTAAATAAGGATAAAATTGAAAAGTAATCGAACTTGGTATGTCTTGTAATTTCTGCAATTAAACCTGCATTTTATAACCTGGTTTTGAAATTTATGTGTTGTTGGATACAACGTTTTCAAACCCGGACTGAACTGTCGAACCGCTCTACCTAGTGACAAAAAAATATGACTCCTTTTTTTATGTTCATACTGCTTGAGGAGTTGAACCACATTGAACCGTTTAGACCTAGCCATTGAGTTAGGAACAGAACTTAAGCACGATCCAGAGCGGTTTACAAGGGTGGGAGCTATTTGGATTTCTCCATCAACAATGGAAAAGAAAGAGGAATGAGAAGAAAAATAAGAGGAAAAAAATTTAAAAGGAAAAAAAATGCTGATTTGTTGTTTTTTCCCCCTTAATTTTTCTCATCTACCTGACATGGATCAATGGCATGAGACGGATAAAGGATAAAACTGAGGAAGAAATAACAAAGAAGCAAGAAAAGCAGACCGGATGCGACTTGGGCACCTTTCTTGCCAAGGCAATTTTGAGGTTATCCTTAAGCATACGTCTCGTCTCATGTCATTTTGCTGTCTCAATTTTTTTTTTTTTCCTCCTTCAATTTTAGAATTTATTTTAATGTAATTAATTCATTTAAAATCTATGTTTTATATTGTATTTGTTTAAAATAATTAATATAAAGTTAAACACGTGGTGTATTTAGCATATTATTACTTTCAATGATTATATTCCTAAGTAAAACAAACATAATATTTTGCCTGTGCCGCCCAAAACAGTTGTCGATAATTTTAAATAAAAAGCTTTATAAATAAAATTCAAATATTAAATGAGTTTATGGAGCCCAAAAAACTTGATTTAAAAAAAAAAGAATGTATAAGAAATATTGAGATAGCCACAGCCGGTTAGATTTAAAATAAAAGGAAAATGACCACAAAATACCATATGAATTTTAAAAAGACAAAGAAGGCATCCGGATAAACAAAATGACAAAGAAGACATCAGGTACCAATCTGTAATTTTGATTTTTGGCGTAAAAACCAAAATGCCCTTATTATGTTTTTTTACAGAAAAGTTGCCCAGCCCCTCAAAATAGATTACAAAACCCATTGACAAAATAGTAACTTTTACTATAAAATTGTAAATTCCACTATGTGTTTTGTAAAATTCAGCATGAAATTGTATTGTTTTTTTTACAAAAAAGTTGCTCAGCCCCTCAAAACAGGTTGCAAAACCTATTGACGAAATAGTAAATCTCACTATAAAAGTTGTAAATCCCACTATATGTGTTTTGTAAAAAAAAATTCGGTGTGGAATTATATTGCTTTTTATAGCAAAGCTGCCCAGCCTCTCGAAACAGGTTACAAAACCCATTAATGAAGTAGTAATTCTCACTATAAAAGCTGTAAATCCTACTATGTGTTTTGTAAAATTCAACGTGGGATTATATTGTTTTTTTACAGAAAAGTTGCCTAGTTCCTCAAAACAAGTTACAAAACCCATTGACGAAGTAGTAACTCTCACTATGAAAGTTGTAAATCCCACTGTGTCTTGTAATAATAAGGGCATTTCCATCTTCAGGCCAAAAATCAAAATTCCAGATTGGTACCTGATGTCTTTTTTGTCATTTTTTATTCGGATATGTTCTTTGTCTTTTTAAAATTCATATGGTATTTTGTGGTCATTTTTCCTAAGATAAATTCAAACTTCATCTTGTTAACGTTTTAATAAAATGGACTAATTGTGTTTATATATATAATGTTACTTGTAATTGAATTATCACATCCATTTGAACCACGCATGAGTCGCTAGCTTTTTATTTGTATCTGTATCTTGATTATTTTTAATTCAGTTTCCCATTCATTATTTTAAATATTTTGCTTACCAAACTAAGTTGTCCCTTTTTTTAGTACTTAGTATTAATAAACTTTATCAATCAGTTAATCAACATAATATTTTGCTTTGGAAAAAAAAAAAAAAAAGACCAGAAGAAGCAGAGAGCACGTGTATGACGGAGGGAGCAGTGACGTGAACATGCTAAGGTAAGCGGGTCCTGTGTGTGTATATATGGACAGGGCATGAAGAAGTTGAGGCACAACTCACATCAGATCAGTACCAACACCAAAATCAAATTGGCGGTGAAATACCATGTTTCGTGCTTACGCCCACACTTCCAGCCAATTTCTACCTCTGAATGGTGGGGAAGGCCAAGTCGTTCTGGCCTTCGTCATAGACATGGACGGAAGTGGAAAGTTCCAGCCCAATTTCAATGTCAAGGGCACTGAAATCAGCAGTTTCAAAAGCAACAATGGGAATAAATTCAAGTTTTTCTTGAGCATGGGAGGTTATAGCTTCAATCTCAGACCCGATAACGTCCCCACAGCCGTCACCACCCTCACAAGCCTCATCCAAAACCTCCATATTGACGGCATCGACGTTTACTACAAACAGATCGATAACTCTGATGCTGATAACTTTGTGGCTGTTATGTCGAGTGTGCTTAAGGGGCTGAAGGGAAAAATACCCACCCTTGAGGTCTCCCTCACTGTACCTCCTCCTTTAAATCGGGATTACTATGTGCCACTGTGGAACAGCGTCAAAGATCTTATTGATTATGTCATTTACCAGACCCACTCTACGGCAAGTCGTGTCAACGACGTAGGACAACTAGTGCAGATATTCCGACAACTAGATTATTCCGGCAAGCTCCTTGCTGGCCACAGCGTGTTGAACACCGACTGGAACACTGTCCCATTGCTCGTCTTCCATGGGGCCCATCCTGTCCTCCTCGAAGGAAACCTCATTTCTGGCATATCCGAGTGGGCTGCCAGCGGCGTCTGATGAACCTGAGATTTGAGGTTCATCATCCGCACGCACACCGGCATGCTTGCATGCTCTTATAATATATTACTAAATAAAGTATCACCGGCGACCCTGTGCGTGTGCTTGCTGTTTATGTCTGGTGGTTTAATTTGCATGTGAATTTCCTTTCGTGTCTGCTGTTGCTTGTTGCTACTGTGTTATTGGGTTTGTTTTATTATGTCTGTGTACGCATGAGTTGTATTATTAATAATAAAATTATCCAGTACTTGTGATTATATATTACTTATCCTCTGTGTGCTTTTTTCCTGAGCTTCTATGGTATTCATTTGCTACGTACCTAGCTGTGTGTTATATATATTCAATTACTATATATCCTTCCATCCGTGGAATGCCATTTTCGGGAACCACCACACAGTGCCAATGTAAATGAATGTAAATTACGATATGATTGTCATGGTGAAATCTACACTTTTCAAATACAGTTTTAATAGTATATAGATTTAAAATTTTCAACTAATGACTTTTTAATAAGAAATCATTTTTTGAAAAACTTACAGTTAAGATATTACATTTATTTTGAATCATATCCCCATTAAAGAAAACGTTTTTTCAAAAATAAAAAATGTAAATCTTGACTGTTCATATTAAACTTGAACCTTGGGATTTGATGAGTATTACAGTACTCATCATTACGATAATCACCAAAATAGGTTCGGCCTTATAAAACGGCTTCTAATTGTAATCTCAAATGAATCAAATGTGTTTTCATGATGCAACTCCATACCCCGACAGTTCATATCCCAAGTGCAACAATTACACGATCCACATTTGGGGCTTATAAAACTGCTTCTAATTTTGTTATACTACCTCCGATCCTTAATATAAGAACCTGTTTGACTTTTATTTTGGTCTTAAATATAAGACCCCAATCCACTTTGCCTCTCATATTTATACATTTTTTCCCAAAGTAGCCCTTCTAATAATAAGAATTCTAGTCAATACATTTGATTAGCAAGGATATTTTAGAAAAGAAACACATATTTATGACAAATAACTAACTCAACTTACTTCCTTAATCTCCTCAAATTAATCAACTGGCTCTTATAATTAGGACTGGAGGTAGTACATGTCCACTTCCAATCAAGTTTCATGAATTTTTAAAAGAATCTTCACTGGTTCCTAGGGGAAAAAACCCAACATATTGTAGGTGTATAAATTAAAAAATAGCTCAACACAAATAAATGATTACTGTCTCGTCAGAAGAAACTAAGGAAAATTCTAAAGCAATGTCGAAAACTTGTTACTTTTTCCGTCTTAAAATGATCGTCGCTATTTGTTGTGTTCCTTCATTCATAGCTATCATAACTTACTTTCAACACTCATATGTCCAAATCAAATTGTGTAAATGAAAATTTCCTTGTTTCCCCTCAATTATATTGCATATACAAAATTACTTTCAAAGTTTTACTTGGAATATTTGTTTTTGTTAGCCATAAAACATTATTATTTTATACAATAAAAGAGTTAAAAAAGCACAGGTAGATTATTACATGAGGTTTGGGCTACTTTCGCATAGTAAGATAGGCCCAATATTAGAAACCCATTTAAGTCTCACTTATTAAAGTGGAGAGTGGGCAGATTAGGGTTATGAGGAAGAGACCTCATTTGAGGAAGAATAGCAGCCGTTAAGGCAGAGAAGAAGAGAGAGGGAATCATTTTTGCATCTTCATAAGGCACTCTCATTGGTAAATCGATGTTTACATATTAACCATTGGATAAGGCTGAAATTTTGATAGCATGTTCGCAACATCCATGGGTCATTTTCAATTATTGGACTATTGATATTTATGGATGCATGGATGTAAAACTCATGGTCGACGTTACCGATTCGATTTGCATATTTAGTTATTGAATTAACCAAATGTTGTTTTATTGTTTTTTGAGTTTTAAAGGCTTAATATGGTGTCATTAATAGTCCTTATAATTTCATCAAATTTTTATTTTATTTTTGAAACGTTGATGTGATTATATTTAATTCTAAAAAACATTTGTATCGATGGTGAAATAATTCAAAATCTTAAATATAAAGTCTGAAACATGTAAAACAAAATAATCTCATATCTCATATATATAATATATAAAATAAATCCCTGAAAATTCTGAAAATTTTATGTTTTTCAATTTGATAATTCTCATAAAAAAAAAAAACCTTGACATCGACAGCTCAACAAATCTTTAACGTGCATGTGGACCCGCATGTCACTCCTCCCCTCTATATTATTTTAAACTTGTGTGTTTTTTAATTTGATAATTCCCATCAAATACACGTGCAGCCTTGTTGGTATATCACGACGGAGGAAGTTTGGTGAGCATTCGGTTTTTTTTTTTTTTTTTTTGTGAAAATCGAATTAACTGAAATATCAAAGAACACCAATTTTAAGTATCAAACCAAAACCCATTGATTAAATAAATTAAAAATGAATTAATCCAAATATTTCAGTTCAGTTAATTAGTTAAAGAAATATATATGTTTTGTCAGATCCCATGAAGAATAACTTAGCCATATATATGTGTGTGTGTGTGTGTGTGTGTGTGTGTGTTTTGATTCGCTGTCTCTAAAGTATTATTGGGTCATGTCTAAATAAAACGCAGAGTGCATATACTTAACTACACTGTTTGAACCTAATAAAACCTGTCTACTAATGAACACGTTATTCTAATGGTCATGTTTAGTATTACAAGAGATAATCCTCAAGTAATAAGGTTATGTGATTTACAAATGCGAGGAAATAATGAAAGATGAAAAACAGCACATAAAATTCAAAATATCATGGTATTTTACACGCGATAATTAACCAACTTCTTTTTCTTTGATTGAAAGTATATAGAGATAATCCTCAAATAAAAAGGATACGGTGACATCCTCAAATTCAAAATGAATTCTGTGCAGTGAAAACTATCTCTTTATCACAGCAACATGCACAAGAAATTAGCAATCACATATTAATTTACTATCTCTGGTATTTCATATAAGAGCTAAAGAAAATTAGTTAAGTTAATTATTAGTAATAAATAAATATTGTGTTTCCTAAAATATCTTCGCTAATCAAGTATATTAGTTAGAATTACCATTTGATAACATGTGCAACTAATACAAAAACTATACTAAAAAAAATAAATCAAAATGAGAGATAAAATAGATTGAGGTCTTATAAAAAGATAAAATTGAAAGTCAAACTAGCTCTTATATTAATAACCAGAGGTAATATTATTCACCATGATTTAGAGCTTTTTTTTCCCTATCAAGGAAGATAAATAAAAATATAAGGAGATTCTAAACAACCTGGTAAAAGAATCATTCAGTCTTGTGCATAAATTAGAAAATGGTGACAGTGGTTTGAAGAAAACAAAGATATAGTTTTATTTGAGGATTAGCTGCAACACCCCCTAATTTTCTGACTCAAGAAAAGTTAAAAAGAAAATTCATAAAATTATTTTAAGCCTAGGTAAAAAGGAGGCAATTATGGAATATTAATTTTGAAGGCTTAAAAATTTTATGAAAAAGTTTATGCTCCCAAAAATGACTTAAATAATTTTAAGGTTATTTGTCAGTGCAAAAATGATATATCTTTCTAGAAAATTCAAGAAAAAAAATAGCTAGGAATTTATATTTGAGGTGAAAAATTCAGGATAATTATTTTATGAGGTAAAGATACAAATTAAGGGATAAAATCTTTAAAATGGGTTAAGGATTAATTTTTGGAGTTAATGGCTTTTTTCTGGAAAATTCAAGAAAAATAGTTACTTGCGACCCAAAACTTTTAGAGAAACTATTTTATGGGTCAAAGAAGCTAACGGACAGGGAAAATCCATACAAATTGTGGAATAATTTCTAGGTATATTTTATATTTCCGAAAAATAGTAGAAATGGTGGAAATGGAAGAAAGGAAAGCAATAAAGGGCATAATGGTCATTTCCCTTACTCCTACTCATGCCCCCCGTGTCCCTTCGTAAAATAACCCATCAGAACCCATTTCCCCTCTTCATTCTTCACCTGCAATTACGGTGAAAGTCGAGAGAAAGAGAGTTTGAGAACCAGAGAAGAGCAACAGCGGAGAAGGTGATCGAAGAAGGGTTTTGGTGCGTGCAATCATTGTTTCAGACCAAGATAGGTGGAAATATCACTCTCATACCCTTCTTTCTTCTATTCCACATGCTATCGAAGAGTTGAAGTTATGTAAAAGCCTTTAGTTATGGAGGAAAATGGGTAGCTTAATGAATTAAGTGTAGGTGATGGTTGATGGATGCATGTTCGGGTGAGTTGTGATGTTGCATGCTGTTAATGATTTCTGCATGTTGAGGACCGACTGGTTTGTGACACTGAAACAGGGGCTTCATGTTTCGACTTTTATGGTTTTGGGTTACTGAAATCTTTTGTTGCATGTTGCTTAATTGTTTAGAGATATTCACTGTCGAAACTTGGTTAAAAGTTTCAGAGATTGGTGTCGGATTGTCTGAATCTTGAAGGAGGGGATGCAGCTGAAAATTTCTGGTTGCATATGTTGATTTTTGCTCTGGTTCTTCAAGGCTGAAACAGGGGAAGATTTTGTTGTTTGATTTTGATGATCTAGGTTTAATTTCTTTGGATGCATGCTGTTGGTTCTGGTTTAAGGAGAGAAAATTAAGAGCATAGATATATGCACACGCACGCGCGCGCATAATTGATAGTTTATGTGTTTGGACTTGAATCTGAAACTAAACTAGAAAGATATACATGCACATATAATTATGCTTGTGTGTGCCGTGAGGGGTGAGTTCATAAGCCAAAAATCAGATTGGAAGTGAAAAGCAATAATCAAGTTTGTAGTATTTGATTTAAGTGATTGCATATGGAATTTTGAATCTTTGAAAGGTATGTTTAAATCTGGGAAATTACAGATTTAATGTGTAGAGGTTTGGAAATTTTTAGAGGCTAAGAGGCATGTATGACGTTCAAATGACGTAGGATATGCAAGCACAGGTTGCTGTTGGTTAGAAAATGGAACTCGTTAGTTGAATGAGAGGTTAAGGGATTCAAGAGGATGGTGTAGTTGGGGAGTGAAATTAAATAGAATTTGGTGTTGTAGATGATTAAACAAATTTAAGGATGCTAAAACGGTAATTGGGATGTAATTTTTGTGGATTAGTGAAAATAGGGAATTCACTAATTGATGTTATATAGTAATTTTAAATGATTGATTGAGTTATCTAGTTGTGATGCTAAAATCAAGAGCTGAGAACAATGGTTTAAAATTGGAGAGTTGAACATGAAGTTTACTTGAGGATAAAATTTATGGAAGGTTAAGGGAGAAGTTTTCAAACTTTTAGCTGAATGTTGTCACACCTTACTTTTATACATCATTTTATATCAATTGGAACTATTTAGAATCACTTATCATGTCCTTGGGTTGAAAAAATTCAAACTTCAGATTTTTTTAAATTCAAGTTACTATTCATTATAATCCTTACAAAGGCGAAAGTTGAAAATTCATAACTAATTCTAAAAAAATTAAAATAAGATGGTTTTGAGTTCTATAGAAATCTCTTGACATTCTCTTTAAAGGAAAAATAATTATTGGTATCCAGAACTCATACATTAATCCCAGATTTCATTCCAAGTGGTACTGTTTATTTGGTCATTCTTCAAATTTTCAGGATTTATGTCCAACTTTGGAAGGGCATAACTTTCTGTATAAAATTCCAAATTTAATGAATGACCACTTGTTTTAAAGCTAAAATATGATCTATAAGCATGCTAAGTTTCAGATCCAGATTCATCTAATTGCTCAAAATCATGTTGGTCAAACTTGACCCCTAAAAAGTCAACTTTTATCCTTTTTTTTCACGCTATTCTTGGTTTTTCTTTTCTTTTCCTTCAATGATCTTTCCAATCACACTTCACATACTTAAATAAGTTTCCTTAATCGAGTGCTTACGTGTAAGGTATCATCAATAATGAATACAAAGTTCCAACATAATTCCCAATAATACATAACAATGTATAATGATTACAAAACATACTTTCAAGAAACATTAAACCCCATCATCCTCTAAGTGAATCCCTTTCCTTTCTCCTTGCTTGATCCAACTCCTAGTTGGTGAATATTTGAATATAGAGGAATGAGATTTCATAGGAATCTCAGTAGCAGGAGTTACAATGATAATGTCAAACATGCAAAGTAGATTGTATATATTCATGAACATTTTATGCCATACAAATATCATCACAATTCACCAATAAATAACATGTTAATACATGTTGCCAAGGCATACAATGTAATTAACTAACATATCATTTTCATAAAAAAAAAAACTCAAATATAACATAGCAATTATTCATGCAATCATATTATGTAACAACCAAGTAATTTAACATTATAAATTATGAATTCCATGCTACTATCTCTTTTTAGTCCAAGAATCATGGCATCTTCAATTTCGCACCCTGGCTTAGCTGCATCCCACTATGCTCATTAGAGGATTTGCCTTATTGGGTGAACATATTGCTAATACTAGCACAATTGGTAGTCCCTATTTCCAAAATTACCAATGGAGGATACATCACTATCAACTCCCTTAAAGCTATTTACTGTAATTCTTGCCGAGAATGGCTTACTCTCACAAAACCAATATAATTTTTGTGACGAAGGATCACATCCACCTTTAGAGAGATACTTTGTGGCCAAGACTTTCCCTGTATTCAATCTCTGGTTGGGTACACTCCTTGATTACATATCCCTATCAAAGGGAACATCTCCACTAAAATTATCTAATCCCATAGGCAGTGGTGCCTCTTAGTGGGGATTTCGTTTCTTTGGATTCCACCCTGGCCTGAGTGTTGTGGTTGCACGTTCTTAACCATCTTAGGGACACAAAAGAGCAATATAATCTCTAACATTATCAAGTATTTTAGCATTATCAGGTTTTAGGTATCATTAAGAATTTCCTCATCTTTCATTACAATTCAGTTCTCTGTGCAACCTTTAACTATCACATTCTCATCTGTTTCTATCCAACGCCATCCTCAAGAAGGATCTTGCCTAACATAACTTTTCTAGCTTCCCTACCTTCTGACCAATCATTCCTATGGCCAGGCATTGATTATCATGTGCTAATCGTATTACATAGCAATGATTTAATCACTTTGCTGTGTCGTGTCTAGTTAGGCATCTAATTCATCATTAGTTCTTCATTCAACATCATCCAATCACTAAACCTCTTGGTCTTCTATCCCTTAGAAATTTCCACTATTCAAGGATTTAACAAACCTTAAACATTCCGTCTTCTCACCTTGCCTCTTTTGAGATTACATCGATTACTCGAGGTTTAAATTGTCACTCTGCTTCTCTATTATGGTATAGACTCCTGCTTCTGTTGGGCCTACTACATTCTCAGCCTACTACAACCCATTCATTATTTTAAAGATTTAGCTCACCAAACTAAGTTATCCTTTTTTAGTATTTAGTTATAATAAACTTTATCAATTAGTTAACAAACGTAATATTTTGTTAATGAAAAAAAGAAGAAAAAGAAATGCATGTGTACGGAGGAGAAAGCATAGACGTCAACATGCTATTATCTACTTAAACTTAACTGTTAAATTATGCAATTTGACTAGTATTTTTAATAGTTAAATTTGATTATGGATAACAGTTCAAGACAGAAATATTGCGAAATAAAACATTTAAAGAATATAAGAGCAAAAAAAAAAATCCTTCTAGGTATTAAGTGTTCATCCATAGATATGTCCATCATGTATAAGCACTTTATCCCTACAAAACATAAATAATTACTCTTGCTAAACACTAGGAAAGATTTCAAAACAACACCCTGAAAATTTAGAAAACCCAAATCAGTGACTCATATTTGATAAATGCTAGAATAGAGTCTAAGGAGATGTCTAAAGGTGGCAATGGCTAAAAAAAAAATTACTTTTTTTCTTAAAATAACTGTACCTCTATTGTTTCCCATCCATAACTTCTTGTTATACATAACTTTTTTCAAAAATTCATATATCCAAATCAAACTGTATGAATAAAAAATTTTAATTTCTTGATTGATTACAAAAATGCAAAATTACTTTTTAATTTTTCAAATTTTTAATAAGGATAAATTTAAAAAAGTTTATCAATTTTTTTTGAACAAAAAGGAAGACCCCGTGCATTAACCCCTCAAAGCCGCACTCATATCTTGCGAGACATCTTTACGTAACAGATCCAGGATAGACTCTGGAGGCTCAGACAAAATCACCAGATCTGTTAGCAGGTGGTGCGCTTCACTAGCAATACAATCCGCGACAGTATTTGCTTCACAACAACAATGTACCAGATTAACATTCCAAGATCTCTTCAGTATAGATTGAATCTCCAAGAGCAGTGAAATGTCTGGTTGTTCAGGAGAAATTTCCATTGTGATATCACGGACAACTTCGTAGCAGTCAGTCTCGACAACAGTATTAGTCAGTCCCTACTCCTAGGCCAATTTTAGAGCCTATAGGACGCCCTAAGCTTCAGCTGTGTAGGCTGAGCCGGTGACCGTTTTGAACATAAATCCTCATACGAATTCACCAGAGTGGTTGCGAGCAATACCCCCCTTGTGCACATTCCAGTCACAGGGTTAAAGGAACCATCAGTGTTAAACTTGACAAAGCCTTCAGGTGGGGGCAACCAACGAAGCTTGTATCTAGTGGGGCCCTGATTCATCAGCAAGTCCAGCTGACCTCATGCAAGGCAAGCTCGCGACCGAGCAGTGAGTTCTTCTTGACAGAGGATCTTTCCATAAAACACCTGCTCATTTCAGGCACGCTAGATATTCCTGTAGATCACAACGAACCACCAACTCCAATCAAGGTTCTCAACCTTCTCTGTGGTTTTAATGTTCCCACGAATCCATTCCAAGGGGGAGCTAGGGAGGAAGAAGTTAGTCCACAAGTGTCTTGGGAATACAACACGCCACAGCGGCTTCAGGTTGTGGCAGTCCCGAAGCAAATGCACGACAGTCTCCTGGTCCTTACCGCAGATATCACATAGACCGATGTCATGCAGGCCGTCTCTCACTCTAGCACCATTGGTAAGAATTCTGTCGTGTGCACATAACCAAAGAAACATACGATATCTATGAGGAACTTTAAGCTTCCAAAGCTGAGTCCAGAACCTGCCATGGCCCGAAGTGTGCTGACCACTTACTTGGTTATAGGCCGACTTTACTGTGAAAGTTCCATTTGAAGCCCAGCGCCACACAGGAACGTCAACCCTACCGTGCCGGTTCACCTGTACTCTGGTGATAGCGTCCATCACATAGTGCAGTAGAAGATGACTAAATTTAGACCAGTCCCAGGCGCCTGAAGCCGTCATGCACTCAGCTACTGGCCAGTTAAGAACCTCATGGGGCAGTTCAACGCAAGATAACCTCTCCAACTTGTCCAGATGGGGGACCCATGCGTCTTTCCAAAAGGAGACCATGCGTCCATCTCTAATCCTCCATGCCACGCCATCCCTAACTTCCTCCTAACTAGAGCAGATCCCCGACCAAGTTCTTGATGTCGTTTTTCGTCGTTCAACCTTGGGGATAGTGTCAGAACCACACTTATATTTTTCACGCAAGAATTTGACCCATAGCAGGTCTGTTCGTTTGATCAAGGACCACCCAAGCTACATCATAAATGCTTTATTCTGAAATCTAGCCTGACGGAGACCCAGACCCCCATCTGATTTGCTTTTACAAACATTATCCCAAGCAAGAAGGTAGACCTTTTGAGCCGATGTGGTGCTACCCCAAAGAAAGTCTCGGCATTTCTTATCAATCCTATCACAAGTACCTTTGGGCAGACGAGTAGTTTGCATGGCATAAGATGGCATAGCAGTAGCAACTGAAGACACCAAAGTGGACCTTGCCGTGAAGGAGAGTGTGTTCACCTTCCAAGTGGATAGCTGAGAATGCATTTTCTCTAGAATCCCATTATAAGTGGATTTAGTCACTCGTTTATGAATAATTGGCCTACCAAGATACTTTCCTAGGTCAATAGTAGGAGTAAAACCCAGAAAATCACTAATCTCCGTCACCCTTGTATGGTTTATGCAAGGTGAGAAGAATACACGTGTCTTGCTTGCGTTGACTCTTTGGCCTAATAAAGCACAGAAGTCATCTAGGGTGGCTTTCATGATGCCTGCTTGCTCCATATTTGCCTCTGAGAAAAGAATAAGGTCATCAGCAAAAAATAGATGAGAGATAGCTGTGCCATGCTTATTAAGTTGGAAAGGACGCCACTCCCCACTATCAACCGCCCCCTGAATTAGATGACCTAAACATTTCGATCATAATTACAAATAGATATGGCGACAACGGATCCCCCCTGCGAACGCCTCTAGACGGGTAAAAAGCATTGGCTCTTGTACCATTCCACGTGAGTTGCATGGACGGAGAGGAGACGCAAGCTTCGATAACCTTGCAGAGATATGTGGGTATGTTCAATTCACTCAGACAATCAAAGATGAAGTCCCACCAAATCCGATCATAGGCTTTTTCGAGGTCTATCTTAACTACCATGAAGCCGCGTTTGTTCTTCAATGTGTGCATGGAGTGAATAATCTCTTGGGTGAGAATAATATTATCAACACTTTGCCTACCTTGAACAAAACTACACTGATTGGGGGCAATTACTTGCGGCATGAATCTTCTGAGTCTATTGGAAATCACTTTAGTAATAACCTTGTATATCACATTGCACAGGCTAATAAGACGGAAGTCTCTAATGGTTTGGGGGTGGTCCATTTTCGAAATAAGAACAATTTGGGTGCCATTTATGAGTCTAACACAGGATGGGTCTTGGAACACCAGCTTCACTTGATCAATAACAGCTTCTCCAACAGTACCCTATTGGCTCTGATAAAAGAGGGGATTTAAACTATCAGGATCGGTTGCCTTTAGGGGGCCATATCGAACAAAGCATTTTTAATTTCCTGGCTATCAACCGGATGACCAATAGCCTCCAAGCAAACACTGTCAAGGGATGGGAAACTATGACAGAATTCAATGTGATGGGTCTCCGAGTCCTCCTCTGTGTATAAATTTTCAAAGAAGTTCCTTCCCAGGTTAATAATCTCAACTGAGTCATAGGACCATTCACCGGAGTCTAATTGCAAAGCCTCTATTCTGTTACGTCGTTTCCGACAGGTCGCCATGGAGTGGAAGTACTTCGTGTTCTGGTTTAAGGAGAGAAAATTAAGAGCATATATATATGCGCACACGCGCGCGCGCATAATTGATAGTTTATGTGTTTGGACTTGAATCTAAAACTAAACTAGAAAGATATACATGCACATATAATTATGTTTGTGTGTGCCGTGAGGGGTGAGTTCGTAAGCCAAAAATCAGATTGGAAGTGAAAAGCAATAATCAAGTTTGTAGTATTTGATTTAAGTGATTGCATATGGACACTACAAAAAAATTGACTTTTAGCGGCGACAAAAGTCGCCGCTGAAAGTACAAAAGTCGCCGCCGAAAGTTTTTTGCGACGACAAGTTACCGCTGAAAAGTCGTTGCCATAGTAGTCGTGGCTAAAAACTTTCAGTGGCGACTAAAAAGGTCGCTGCTAAAAGATACTTTCAGCGGCGACTTTTAGAAGTTTCGGCGGTGACTTTTAGAAGTTTCGGTGGTGACATTTTTGTCGCCGCTGAAAGTAATGCCTAAGAAGAATTGGCTTTACCAATGCCACGTCATCGTCTCCGGCCACCACGTCATCATCGTCGGCAGCCACGTCATCACTGTCGACCTCCACGTCATCACCGTCGGCGGCCACATCATCACCGCCGACCGCCACATCATCACTAGCCACCTCCACGTCATTGCCACATCACTCCTCCTCGCCACGTCATCGTCCAAATATTTTCACCTTAAATGTGTCTTCTTCCAGGTTCGAACTCGTGACCGCCTCCTTTCGTGTCCAACCTTCTTGCCGTTGAGCCAGATTGAATTTGTTTATTAATATTGTAAAATAAAATATATATTATTATATTATACTTTCAGCGGTGACTTTTTTTGTCACCGCTGAAGGTCCACTTTCAGCGGCGACACTTTTGTCGCCGCTGAATCGCCGCTGAAAGTCTTGGTTTCAAAGGCGAACTTTCAGCGGTGACTAAAAAAGTCGCCGCTGAAAGTCTTAGTTTCAGCGGCGACTTTTTTTGTCGCCGCCGAAAGTCGTCGCCTAAAGTCTGTTTTTTTGTAGTGGGAATCTTGAATCTTTGAAAGGTATGTTTAAATCTGGGAAATTACAGATTTAATGTGTAGAGGTTTGGAAATTTTTATAGGCTAAGAGTCATGTATGACGTTCAAATGACGTAGGATATGCAAGGTTGCTGTTGGTTAGAAAATGGAACTCGTTAGTTGAATGAGAGGTTAAGGGATTCGAGAGGATGGTGTAGTTGGGGAGTGAAATTAAATAGAATTTGGTGTTGTAGATGATTAAACAAATTTAAGGATGCTAAAACGGTAATTGGGATGTAATTTTTGTGGATTAGTAAAAATACGGAATTCACTAATTGATGTTATATAGTAATTTTAAATGATTGATTGAGTTATCTAGTTGTGATGCTAAAATCAAGAGCTGAGAACAATGGTTCAAAATTGGGGAGTTGAACATGAAGTTTGCTTGAGGATAAAATTTATGGAAGGTTAAGGTAGAAGTTTTCAAACTTTTAGCTGAATATTGTCACACCTTACTTTTATATCTTATTTTATATCAATTGGAACTATTTAGAATCACTTATCATGTCCTTGGGTTGGAAAAATTCAAACTTTAGATTTTCTTAAATTCGAGTTACTATTCATTATAATCCTTACAAAGGCGAAAGTTGAAAATTCATAACTAATTCTAAAAAAATTGAAATAAGATGGTTCTGAGTTATATAGAAATCTCTTGACATTCTCTTTAAAAGAAAAATAATTATTGGTATCCAGAACTCATACATTAATCCCAGATTTCGTTCCAAGTGGTACTGTTTATTTGGTCATTCTTCAAATTTTCAGGATTTATGTCTATTTTTGGAAGGGCATAACTTTCTGTACAAAATTCTAAATTTAATGAATGACCACTTGTTTTAAAGCTAAAATATGATCTATAAGCATGCCAAGTTTCAGATCCAGATTCATCTAATTGCTCAAAATCATGTTGGTCAAACTTGACCCCTAAAAAGTCAACTTTTATCCTTTTTTTCACGCTATTCTGGGTTTTTCTTTTCTTTTCCTTCAATGATCTTTCCAATCACACTTCACATACTTAAATATGTTTCCTTAATCGAGTGCTTACGTGTAAGGTATCATCAATAATGAATACAAAGTTCCAACATAATTCCTAATAATACATAACAATGTACAATGATTACAAAACATACTTTCAAGAAATATTAAACTCCATCATCCTCCAAGTGAATCTCTTTCCTTTGTCCTTGCTTAATCCAACTCCTAGTTAGTGAATATTTGAATATAAAGGAATGAGGTTTCATAAAAATCTAAGTAGTAGGAGTTATAATTATAATGTCAAACGTGCAAGGTAGATTATATATATTCATGAACATTCTATGCCATACAGATATCATCACAACTCACCAATAAATAACATGTTAATACATGTTGCCAAGGCATACAATGTAATTAACTCACATATCATTTTCATCAAATAATCTCAAACATAACATAGCAATTATTCATGTAATCATATTATGTAACAACCAAGCAAGTTAACATTCTAAATTGTGAATTCCATGCTACCTCTTTTTAGTCTAAGAATTTCGGCCTCTTCAATTCCTTTGGGTTCCTTCTTGTTCTCTTACACAATGTCTATTAATTCATGCATAAACACATTCCAAATTATCAATAATTTAAGCATAAACACAATTGCTTGACATTAAGCTTAATCAAACCTATTTTTCTTTGATTTTTGACGTAATTATTCCTCCTTTGATTCCATCAATATCTTAGCTCATTTCTACATAATTTTTAATGTAGAATCCAAATATCAAATCTGATTTTACAAAATCACACTCCTCCCCTTTCAATTCACTATGGCTGAATAGGGGTAGTATGTTTTGCAAAAATTTTATTTTTGATTTCAATGATATTAAACACTTTCTCTTAGTGTTTCCCTACAAAAAAACACATTTTAAACTTATTGAAATCATCAAATTACAGCAAAACAAATTCCTACCCTAAGAAACCATAGTGGCCGAAATATATGCCCTAGGACCCTAACTTTGATTTTTTCCAAAATTCAATCCAAACACCACTTAAATATGTGCATTCAAGCTTATATTCAAGGCTTCTATCCTTCCTTAACACATATTCAATTCAGCTGAAAATGGACAGCATAGAACCTTAAGATTATGTCATGAAATTTTAACCAAAACAAGCTTGAATCTTAACCCAAACAAAGCACAAACAAACCTTGATGAATCCTTGACCAAAGGTTGGTAATTACTCCTTCAAATACACTAATTAAGACTCCCTTCTAAGCTCAAAAAATCAGTTTGGCAGCACCTCCCATCTTTTTTCAATTTTTTGGCTATTTTAGTTTAATTAGGGGGTATTTATAGAGCAAGAAATCTGACCTTTTTACCCCATTTAGGTGTGCTTTTTCTGCCATTTAGGAGGTCACTTGGCTGCCATCAAACTTTCAATTTTCAGATCAGGCCATGTGTCCATATTCCGAGAATATTTCATTGATTATGTGAAAATGGGGCTTAAATCCATCTTAATTATTGGGCTAGGTTTGGATGAAATTTTTGGGCCTTTCTTAGCTCAATGTGGGGTCCAATTTTGATCTTGAATAGCCCAAAAATGTGGCCCATAATTTAGATGTCAATTCCAAACAATAATGAAGCTTATCAGTTACTATTCACTTGTAACTTTTCATAATTTTTTTAGGCCTCCAAAATTGCATTTTTCTTCATAAAAAATTCTATTTTAATAAAATAATGCATTCTGAAAAATTCTAAAATTTGTTTCCACCTTTAACTATTTATTTTGAATTTTTCCCGAATAGGGCTTTATTAGTAAGACTTTTGGAAATAAATTCTCTAAAATAATTTTCTGTACTTCCAGGGCCTGAAACCAATTTTATAAATTCTAATAAATATTTAGATAATTATTTCATTTTTTTTCATAATTATTGAGACCTCTATATAATTATAATAATTATTTTTACTCACTTTTTACTATTTTTCTTAAAAACCTCTGTTTTCCAGAAATCCTATAAATAACTATTTTCATACCATTTCACTTTTAGGGCCTCTATTGAGATTTCAAAACCTCTAATTTACCTTTTTACCATTTTCTAGAAATTTTCTGGAATTTGTTTCAAATTTTTCCATTTTGTCTTTCCTGGATCAATAATTTCAAAAATATCAGTCTGGACGCTATCTTGATTTTATGTCATGTCTGGCTTTGTCAGCCAGTCTACCTTCTGTATTAGCCCTTAACTTGATATTTCATATCCATTCTTAAGGTTAATTTTTCCAGAATGTGACATTTCCTTCCCCTTTAAATAAATTTTATCCTCAAAATTTACATATACCCTAGATGAAAAGCTTCAAGTGACTGTTCTGCATATCGTCTTCCTTTTTCCACGTTGCTTCTTCTTGTGTTGAGCTCTCCTAGATCACCTTGACCATTAGAATGGTCTTGTTTTGCAGCTGCTCAATCTGTTGATCTACAATCTTTATTGGCTTAACCTCGAATGTCAAATTATCTTGCAGCGCGATATCTTGTTTTGTCACATC